CATGAGCTCCCGCACCCCACTTAAACTTTCAAGTGATGTTCTGTAAAGGTTTACAGCAAGTATTTTTATGTGGCAGTGCCCTAAGGGGCCTGAGCACAGAATTGCCCTGAAACTCTCAGGACGCTTTCCCGTCCATTATTTTTCATGGTCACTAGGCCATCATGATGGTTGACATTATGAAAATACCTTTTTAATACAGTTATTTATCAGACAAGAGGAAAATTATCAAAAAATGAGAAGCACCATGATAGTTCACAGAAATTGCAACGTGGACCCCAACAGCAGTGGATAATCAGCAGCCGATCCTTTCTCTGTGTCTGACCCCACACATGCTAAGATGCTCGTGAGCAAAGCCTGCAAGGACAAGTGGCCAGCGTAACCCAGCAGTGCCCGGGAGGAGTGGCTGGTGTAACTCAGCAGGGCCTCTAACGACTGCGTGTGGCGGGTGTGACTCAGTGGTGCCCGCGAGGACCGCGAGGGGCCGGTGGGGCCCAGCAGCTTCCGTGGCAGTGCAAGAGGCAGGGTCTGCCCTGCCTGGGTGCTGCCGTCCGCCTTAGCGGCTTGGTGGGGTGCCTCACGCTCCGTGGGAACTGCACTGATTATGAAGGCCAAGGTGGCAATGGGGGAGGGGAGAAAACAGAAGGAACATAAGGTGGCACGGGGTTAGTGTCTTCAAAGTCTCAACACTTGAGCTACGTTTTAAAGTCTCGGGTGGGTCACAGCTGCCAGCCCGCACAGCAGACAGGTGTGTGTGGGTTGGGGGGGTCTTCATTTTGGAGTGGGTTTTGTAACTGTCTACGTGAAAAAAGGACAGCAGCGCAGTGTTAGCAAGGTCCCGTTCTTTCGTTTGGATGTCATTCGCGATGTCCACAAATCTCTTGAACCCTAGGTCTTTCCTTTTGGCGAAAATACGAGCTTTGCTGGTTTCTGAGCGGAGAGGCAGTACTTCTCCGTCTCTGTGGATAAGGGATTCAGGTGTCCTCAGCCCTCACCCCACCCTCTTAAGAGAGGATGGCATTAGAGCGCTGAGGGCTCACGAGGTTGTCAGCACTCAGAGACCTTCTCAGGGCAGCTCTGCACAGGTCTTTGTCTTCACAGAGTCTGGAAATAGCCTGGGAAAGCCAAGCAAATGGAAAACAGGTACGATCTTTAAAAAGGGCTCCGACCTTCCCAGAAACACCACTGAGCATAGCCCCACCAGGTTCCTTCCCAGGGTTTAGGGCCAGCCGCGCCAGGGGTTCAGACTGCCAGGTCCTGGGGAGATGGCGCCGCTAGCTTGGAGGCTCCAGTCATACGCGGCAGCAAAGGGGACTACCCACAAGCTACTTGGAACCGGGGCTCCCACAGGTGCCACGGGATGGTGGCAGGCTCCTACAGCAAGACCACGCTAGCTGGTACTCGCTCCTTACACGCAGCAAACAGACCCTTGCAACACACAGCAGTGCTGATGCAGCTCTTCAGCTTCTGCCCCAGCCTCCCTGGGGATTACACCCACAGAGCGAATGGTGACGAAGCAGGTGTGCATGAGCTGGACCGGACAGAGGCGTGGTCTAATGACGGGAGGCCGAAAAGTGCCACGCCACTTGCACGAGGATGATGGCAGAGGCGGGTGTGGCTCAGCTTGTCATCCCAGCATCCTGGGAGGCTGAGGCAGGAGGCCTGCCTGAGCCCAGGAGTCTGAGCCCAGCCCAGGCAACATGGTGAGAGCGGGGGTCTACAAAAACTTAAAAGGTTAGCCAGGCATGTAGTCCCATACCTAGGAGGCTGAAGGGGGAGGATGGCCTGAGCCTAGCTCAAGGCTGTAGTAAGCCATGACAGCGCCACTGCACCCAGCCTGGGCGACAGTAAGAGCCCAACTCAAACATCACTGAAATTTAACTTAGAAACTACATTCAAAAAAACGATGGCAGGAAAACGTATTGTTGTCTTCTTCTTTTTGAATTGGTGTCTCACTCTGTCACCCAGACTGGAGGGCCGGGGCACGCTCACGGCCACCCCAGAGTCGGCCTGCTGGGCCCAGGCAATCTTTCTGCCTCAGTCTTCCAGGTAGCTGGAACTACAGGGGCGCACCACCACGCCCAGCGAATTTATTTACTTCACTTCAGTTTTATTTTGTTGCAGAGATGAGGTCTGGCCATGTTGCCCTGGCTGGTCTCAAACCGGCGGGCTCAGGCAGTCCTCTCACCTCTGCCTCCCAAAGTGCTGGGACTGCAGGCGAGGCGGCACGGCCGGCAGAAAGCGAATGGGCCCGAGGCACCACCGCGGCACGGCGGAGAGCGCCACG